GGGGCTAAGCCAGGATCTAAGAACCCCATCCAGGTCTTGCATGGGTGACAGGAACCAAGTGCTTGAACCATCATCTGCTGCTTCCCAGGTGTACTAGCAGGGAGCTGGATTGGAAGCAGAGGCAGAGGCAGAACTTGATCCCAAGTACTCCGATACTGGACACGTGCATCCCAAGCAGGTGCCTTAACCTGCTAGGCCACAGCTGTGCAGGTGCCCCCGTCTCCCCCCGTCCCAGGTCCCCCAGCATCACTTTCTGAGGGAAGCTTGTTCCAGGCACAGGGAGCAAAAAGCCTTAAGGGGAGATGGCCCTGGTGTCTCCAGGGAATGGCAAGGAAGCCAGTGCGGCTGTGGGGGGCCCCGGAGGCCACTGTGCAGCCGTTTCTTAGGGTACCCTGTAGAATGTCCCTTGACAAAGGGAAAGGAGTTCACTGAGCAGGGAAGAAGGAAACTCAGAGGCTTGTCCAGAAAATGGGCTCCTGCGCAGGCGCGGTCCCTGGAGGGTGGCCGGCAAGGGGGTAGGTCTGTGAGCTGAGACCCAGCAACAGGGAAGCTGTGTCTGAGGAGGACAGGGCCTGGGCCCCAGGGCACCGCACCTCAGACACTGCATTCAGTCTGCCTCTCCCCAAGTGCACCCCCGCCTGCACCCTGGAGCAGTCAGCTTCCTCCTGCGGGAGCTCTCCTACAGGACTGAGACTGCCCCATTCACGGGTTAGACAGCCCTAGCACGCAGGAGGGCCTAGCACCCAGGACACTTCTGTGGCATGAAGGAACGGGTGCGCCAATGAAGGAAATGCAAAATGCACACATAAAACTGTGGGGGTCCTGGGCAGGGGAGCAGAGGGCTAGGACACAGGGCGAGGACACTGCTGGGGCCTGGCACCCAAACGATGCCTGGCCCGCGGCGCCGACTAAGACCCCAGCAAAGCCAGCCGGGCGCGGCCTCCTCGGCCCCTCCTGCTGGTGACAGTCACCACGCCCTCACTCAGGTGTCATTAGGACACGCATGACGTGGGAGGAGACTCCCATGTGACGGACTCCAGGGTGGCAGTCTGCCGCCCTGGCGGCAGGGCAGGAAAATGAGGAAAAGAGAGCTCCAGGGAGTGCAGGCCCCACGTGGGGTCCGCAGGGGAGCCAGCGAGGCAGGGGTGGCACAGTCGGGAGGGGGTTAGGTGCTCGCACCTTCACGGAGACCTTTTGGAAGCAGAAGGAACCTGGCTGGAAATGCAGACTCTCGCTCCTCTATGTGCGACTCTGACACTCTAGAAGACCACAGGGCCTTGGGAGCTGCGGCAAACCCGCCACAGGCTGTGTGCAGTCCTGATCGGGGCCACGCTGCTGGCCGTGCAGGCTTCGTGGCACAGCTACTCACACTCTGGGCCAATGCGTGGCTCCACCTTACCCTCCCACACCACAGCACCTGAATTCCGATAGGTTTCAGATACGAGGGTGGGCATCCACCCTGCTCAGCGGCAGGCGTCTTCACGTGGCCTCTTCCTTCACTCGCTCCCTCGTCATTCAGCAAGTTCTCACGGCTCCACGCGGATGCTGGGGGAGGCCCCGCTCGGTCCCTTGTTCGTTGGCAAGAGCCCAGGGAGTGCTGCTGCTTGGCTAGGAGACCCTGGGCAGGCCCCAGAGGGCTCATCCTGCACACCCTCAGTCGCTGCGCGTGTGCCCTGGCTACGTCCTCTGCTTCTGTCTGATTCCTGCCCCCGGGCGGGGTTCCTGTGAGCACAGAACACCACAGTGGGGCATGCAAGGGAGTCTCAGCAGACTGAGGGCCTTCAAGGGCCTCCTACAGCCAAGGAGCGGGCCTAGGCCCTGTTCTCATGCACACCCTGGACAGCAGGTCACCCAGAACGGGACCTGGCGCGAGGACCTGCCAGCACTTCCGGCTCAGCTCCTCACAGAGCTTTGGTCTTTTCCACCGAGGCCCTGCCAAGGCCAGCTGCATCACACGTGAGCTCAGTGATGGGGGAGGCGGGTAGACACCTGCCCTCGGAAGTCTACCAACAAACCTTGGAGCGGGAGAGGTGCACTACATCCTAGCGGAGGGAATCCAGGAAGGTTTTCTAGAGCAAGGGGTGGCAGGACATTTCAAAGAAAGCAAAGGACTCGGGCAGTGGTGTGTGCTTGGGTGGTGAAGGGGTGGTGGTGCGTATGGTGTTGGTGTATGTGTGGTGGTGTTGGTGGTGTGCATGGTGTGTGTGGTAGTGGTATGTGTAGTGGGTGTGTGTGTGGTGTGTGTGGTGATTTATGTGGTATGTGCGGTTTGTGTAGTGGTTTATCTGTGTGGTGGTGGTGTATGTGATCTGTGTGGTGGTGCGTGTGGTATAGTGTGTGTGTGACCTGTGTGGTGTGTGTGGTGGTATGTGGTGGGGTGTGTATGTGATCGGTGAGATGTATGTTGTGGTGTGTGGTGGTATGTGTGTGTGATCTATTACGGGAGTGCGGTGCTGGATGGATATGGGTGGAACAGTGAAAGTGTGAACTGTGATGTGTGTAAAGTGGGTTGGGGTGGCGGGGCATGTGTCTCATCTGTGCAGTAGGAGATGGAGCTAGAGGGGCGGTGGTAGAAGTAGAAAGGACTTGCGATATACAAGCAGTGTCGTGGTAGATGGATGAGACTCGAGGGCCTCTGTCGTCAGACTCAGGAGTACATATTGATTAGCGAAGCGAAGAATAGAAAGGCGACTGGCGATGCTCATCATTGTCGGCTGGTGAAATAGTGAGACCTATTTTGGACGATAGTGGGAAGCGACCGGAGTAACAAGACCGACCCAAGTCCAAACGGTGATCAGGAGCGGAGGAAAGTACTGTAGAGCGATAA